GGGGGCGGGGGGGGGGCGCAAGGTGGAAGTTTTGCTTAGGGCGCGAAACTTCCTTGCACCGGCCCTGAGGGGGGGTTACTCTTTTTTAACTAGAAGTAAAAGCATTTGAGTGGCCAAGCCCAGGAACTCTGCTAGCTAGAGCTGTGAATGGTAATAAAAGAAGATGATTGGGAAGGATAATGCCAATTGGATTTGGAAAAAGCTGGCCAGGACGCTGAAAAAATCTTCATTTTTGACAAGGTCACACAGGCAGGAGCGGTCAGAGATGTGGTTTTAACCCTGTGGTGTGTAGCTGTGCAAACTTCTGATTTGAAGTTATGGTTTCATACCCAATAGGAATCAGGTTGGATCAGTGCATTTAATTTACTTCTAAATTTAGACACTTGGACACAAATCTCTGTGAAAAGGTGGGTTTTTTTTTTTTACATCTAATCCTCAAGTGCTTTGCATTGGTTGAACATTCTACCCTAACTCTCCTAAAAGGATAAGAAAGTGGACACAATAGACTCACTGATAGCTTCTGCTGAACTACCATATGTACCATTGACATCAACCGTCATTATTCTAGCCCTCTTTAAAATGTTAATTGAGACATGCTTGTTCTGACACTGGTCACACTTAGGCCTGGTCTACACTACGAGTTTAGGTCGACTTTAGCTGCGTTAAATCGAATTAAGCCTGGACACGTTCACACGACGAAGCCCTTTCTTTCGACTTAAAGGGCCCTTTAAACCGGTTTCTTTACACCACCTCCGACAAGGGGATTAGCGATAAAATCGGCCTTAGGGGGTTGGAATTGGGTTAGTGTGGACGGAATTCGACGTTATTGGCCTCCGGGAGCTATCCCACAGTGCTTCATTGTGACCGCTCTGGACAGCTCTCTCAACTCAGATGCACTGGCCAGGTAGACAGGAAAAGCCCCGCGAACGTTTGAATTTCATTTCCTGTTTGCGGAGCGTGGAGAGCACAGGTGACCCCGCAGAGCTCATCAGCACAGGTAACCGTGATGGAGTCCCAGGATCGCAAAAGAGCTCCAGCATGGACAGAACGGGAGGTTCGGGATCTGATCGCCATATGGGGAGATGAATCAGTGCTGGCCGAACTCCGAAGCAGTAAACGAAATGGCAAAATATTAGAAAAGGTCTCCAGGGCCATGAAGGACAAAGGCCATAACAGGGACGCACAGCAGTGCCGCGTGAAAATTAAGGAGCTAAGGCAAGCCTACCACAAAGCCAGAGAGGCAAACGGAAGGTCCAGGGCTGAGCCGCAAACATGCCGCTTCTACGCAGAGCTGCATGCCATTCTAGGGGGTGCAGCCACCACTACCCCAACCGTGTGCTATGAGTCCCTCACTGGAGAAAGACACAGGGAAGCGTGTTCTGGGGACGAGGAAGATGAGCATGAAGATAATGTAAATAGCTCACAGCAGCAAGGAAGCGGAGAAACCAGTTTCCCCAACAGCCAGGATATGTTTATCACCCTGGACCTGGAACCAGTAACCCCCGAACTCACCCAAGACCCTGTGGGCACACAGGGGACCTCTGGTGAGTGTACCTTTGTAAATATTAAGCGTGTTTAATGATTAATGATTAATTTGCCCTGGCAATCGCGGCCAGTACAGCTACTGGAAAAGTCTGTTAACGTGAATGGGGATGGAGCGGAAATCCTCCAGGGACATCTCCAGAAAGCTCTCCTTCATGTACTCCCAAAGCCTTTGCAAAAGGTTTCTGGGGAGGGCTGCCTTATCCCGTCCGCCATGGTAGGACACTTTACCACGCCAGGCCAGTAGCACGTAGTCTGGAATCATTGCATAACAAAGCATGGCAGCGTATGGTCCCGGTGTTTGCTGGCATGCAGACAACATCCATTCCTTATCGCTCTTTGTTATCCTCAGGAGAGTGATATCATTCACGGTCACCTGGTTGAAATGGGGCAATTTTATTAAGGGGACATTCAGAGGTGCCCCTTCCTGGTCTGCTGAACAGAAATATTCCCCGCTGTTAGCCACGCGGTGGGGGGAGGGGTGAAGTGATCATCCCAGAGAATTGGGTTTGTGGGGGAGGGTTATTAGTTGGGTTTGTGCTGCACGTTAACCCTGAAACCGCAGCCCCTCCTTTTACATTGCAAACCCATTTTAAATGGTCAACCCA